TTTCATTTTTCTTTAGCTTATTGTTCAATTAATTGTTCGCCTGGTTATTGTTTTTCAAATCCTGCTAGTCAACCACCATTTGCTTGTTATTGCACTGATAAAACTATTCAATTGAATTCATGCTATTGATAAATTTTCTTTTAATTATTAAGTTACACAGAAAAAAAAATTATTATTTCTTCTTCTTCTTCTTTTTATGATGACCTTGAATAAACATCGGATAAGTTGTTCATCATATAAATGTAGACATTTTTTTCCTTAGAGTTTTTTCTCTTTCATCTCGTATTCTATTGTAATAACTACCCAGACAGGAAGACAGACAAGGTCGAATATCTATTATTATAGTCATAAAAAAAAAGCGGGAGAACGAGAAAAAAGACAAACAATTTTTTTTCCTCAATGTCAAAGTTTGTTTTCATCCGGAAAAGACACAGTAAATGTATTTTTATATATAGATATAAACAGTACTCCAATCTAACCTTGACAAAAGAAAATAAAGTCACGCGTCAATATCGACCCTGAAATGAAGGAAATCTAAACAAATAAATATCAATCGACTTTTATTTTTTTATTGATTTGCACTCGAATTTCAAAACAAGATTATTTTACAAAAAAAAAGGCAACAGTACACACATGTATATAGGCAAAAAAAGAAGAAGAAACGAGAAGACAAATTAATCGAAGCTTAAAATAGAACAAATGCTAAAGGAAAATTTTAGTAGTAGCAGTCTATCAAAAAAAAACACTTAGTGTAGTTTTTTTTTTATTTTATTATTAAATATTTGGTTAAAAACCTGAGTGTTATGTATTTTATCTGCATACTGCTAGTACAAAAAAAGATTAAAGAACTCTGTTCGTTTTAAATTATTATTAAGAAGCTATTTCTCTATGTATTTTTATCAACAGTAGCTAATAGTTGAAGAAGAAGAAGAAAAAAAGAATCCTGAGGGATTTGTTTTGTTTTTGTTAAAACAAAACGAAGTCAATACTGTTCAGCCTGAGAGACACAATCCTGAGTGAATATATATTTATGACCCTGTAAGTAGCTCTAGAAAATTTCAAATTAGAAAAAAGGAACAAAAAAAAACTGTTTCTTCGTTTGTATCATAGCACACTGTGCTCGAAAAAAAGAAAAAGACCTGAAGATAATATGTATGAAAGATGAAGAAAAAAACTTGACAGAAAACAGCAATTATAAAAACAACACAACAATAAGACAAGTTGAATATATATATATACACATACAAATAAACTGTATTTTTTCTACTACTGTTCAAATTAAGCCTCACTCATAAAATGAGTTAAAGGGGGAAAAACATAACTCTGTTTTATTTTGTTTTGTTTCTCAAAAAATTTCGAAGAGATAGAAAGAGAAAAAAGACTGTTCTTTGTGCATAAACTACCGGGTTGCATGTATGTGAATATGTGTATGTGTATGTGTGTGTGTATATTAAAAAGTTAGATAGATACCTGAGTGAAAGCTGTGAGAAGTGACAAATCTTATATAGAATTAAAAAGCAAGAATACGATTATTACCAAAATCAACAACAAGAACAAGACCTTCAGGTGTAACACATATTCCACTCGGTCTATCCATATGTAAAGGACCTGAACCTTGTGTACCAAATTTTGTTTTAAAAACACCTTGCGATGTAAATATTTGCACGCGATAATTTCTTGAATCCGCAACAAATATATTTCCTTCTGTATCAATATCAATACCTTGTGGACGAAGAAATTGTCCATTACCTGAACCTTCACTTCCCAAAAATCGAGCATTTTGAAAATCTGATGATAAAAATAATAGACGATGATTATTAAAATCTGATACAATTATATGTCCAGCATGTGTAAAAACAACACCACGCGGTGAATCAAATTGTTTCCATACAGGCCCATCAAAACCATATTTACGTAAAAATAAACCATCCTTTGAAAATAATTGTATGCGATGATTGCGTGTATCTGATATTAAAATTTGTGATGTTGATGATATAGCTACATCCCATGGATAATTAAATTGACCGGGTTTAGTACCTTTTTCACCAAATTTAAATATATATTCTCCAATAGATGTAAAAACTTGTACACGATGATTATCTTTATCTGTAACAATAATACGATTTAATTGTTTATCAAATGCAACACCAGCAGGACGATCAAATTGTCCTAAACGATTTCCTTGTGTACCAAATTTTCTTAAAAATTGTCCATGTTTATTAAAGATTTGTACTCGATTATTTGATCGATCAGCAATAATTATATTCGATTGATTATCACAACATATACCCCATGGTCGACATAATTTACCATCTTGATCACCTTCACCACCAATTTCAAATTCTAATTTCAAACCAATTGTTGAATAACTACGATTTTGTTTTATTTCAATACGAAATGGATTATCTTTTATAGGTGAATTATTAACATAAACATTTAATATATGTAAATTATCACTTTGAGCAATATAAGTTAAAAAATATTGTCCATTTTGACGATCATAAATTTCACATGGAACAGTTTGATTATTACCTGTATCAATTAAACAACATTGAACATTATCACCACCAGTTGTACGTAATTCACCTAAATGATTACGTGTTTGAAGATTTAATACACTTAAACGATTTCGTACAGTATTATAAAGTGATTCACCATATAATTCACATAATAATGGATATGTTGATGTTATTAATTGACCATAATTTGTTAGTGATTTATTTATTGTATTAGTTGAACCTTGAAATTGTATATAATCATCTTCTAATGGTTTTAAATATAATAATAAAGTTTGTTTCATTTTAATGATTTCATTCCAAAGACGATTACGTGTACGAATAAGATCAGCATCATTACCATTTTTTAAGCATTCATTACAATCAAGTATAGTTAAATGTAATTGTTTAATAACTTGATTGATTTCATTGATTTGTCTTTGTAATGCTTGTGTTTTAATTGTTTGTACTTTATCAACATTTTTTAATAAAAAATCTTGTCTTTGAGAAAGTATATCAAGAAAACACTTTATCATTGTACGTATTTCATTTTCAATTGTTGAACTTTTTATTGAAATATTTTCAATTGTACGTGTAGATTGTTTTAATGATTCATCTAAATGATATAATAATGTTTGAGATTCAATTAAAAATTGTTTTGTTAATTGTCGAGCATTATCAATTGTATCTTGTAATGATGATAATGTATGTTGTTGTGCATGATGTATTTGACATTCATGACAATAGGCATGTGAACATATATCACAATAGTATGATGCTTTTAAACCTGAATGTTCATGACAAAATATAGTTGAAGGTGACGATTGAGGAGATTTAATCATGTTTGAATTTTCATTATTTGATGTATTTAATGAAAGTTGGGAAAAAAATGAACCAAATAATGATGAAAAATCATTATTTGAAGAATTATTTGTTGATGATGATGAACGATTAATTGGAAAATCTAAAGATGTTTGCTGTGTTAAACGAACTAGAAGAATATTTTATTAATAAATAATCAATTTTTTGTTTTTTCGCTCTTACCAGCATTTGGTGATAATGATTGATGTCCAATAGTTGATCGATGATTATTATTATTAAATTGTGATGAAAGTAATTGTTGTCGGTGATCTTTAAAACTAAATATTTTTGGATGTGTTAATGCACATTTTTCACATAAAGATGTATCACAATCAAGACAATATGTATACGGTGGATTATTAGCAAAGCAACAAAATGATGATGTAAGATCATTTGTTGATGAAGGATTTAATGATGATGATGATAATATTGAATGTTTTCGTGATAATAATGATTGTGAAAAATCACTACTTTGAATACTACTTGCGGGACTATCACGATCACTATTATGATTATTTCCATTAAGAAAATTATGGAAATAACGCATGAAATCATTGGTTGTTGATGATGATGTTGTTGTTGTTGTTGTAGTTTCAAGGTCATTATTGAAATTTGTTGATGTTAATGGTGGAAATGTACGATTGAAATCCGTAGATAGATGAAGAAAAGGATTTTGGGACATATTACCGGATGTAAATGGATCAAATGCACTTAAACGACGATTATTTGATGATAGTGATGATGATGTAGACGATGCTGATGAAGATGATAATGACGAAAAATGTGGTTGAATTATTGATGGATTATATTGTTGCTGTTGCTGATGTTGTTGTTGTTTATTCAATGATGATGGTTGTGTTGAAGGTAAAAGTGGAAATTTATTATTTATATCGGAAGAAAAACATTGTTGTTGTTGATCAATAAATTCTGTCATGCAATTCGAACAGAATTTTGATAAAGGATTATTCGTTGATAATGATGCCGAAGTAATTGGCATTTCTTTAAAACACGATGAACATACGCCACCGGTATTACCACTGTTCATATTGCTTGTTTCATTCATGATATTGTCGATTTCTTGTTTTTCGCTCGTTTTATATAGAGGCCTTTCGAGCAAACTGGCCACAATGGATATCAAATCTAACGAGTCATGCTGAAAACCTACTTTCTTCCTCTATGCTCTTCCCCTCGTTTTCTTTCTCTTTTTCTTTTTTGCTAGCTCTGAGCCAATGATGGAACCCAACTATGATCTAAAAGCAAAAAAATATATATAACTAGGAAAGAAATTTATAATACTACAACATTGAATGAATAAAAAAATCTCGTATTTCTTCATATACAAAGACTATTGATAAGCATTTTATGTCGATCTGAACAGTGTTAAACAAATGTGAAGAAGAGAAAGAGAATATGCAATTGAGAAGTTTCACACGATTCAAGTCAAGGTGAATGCATGCATTGACAAAGGTTAATGACCACTCGTAACAATAAAAAAATCGAGATTCTTATAATCAACTCATCCTTAACTTACTATCAATAGATTTTATATCAAAAATTTATGCGTAGGTACATTTTTACTCTCTTCTTTATTTTAACGTATCATGTGTAATACACAATAATGTCTTTATCGGCAGCTATAGTAGAGTAGTAGTAGTAGTACGAGTCCAAGACAGAAAAAAAAGGACGCTATCGATGACGACTATTTAAAGCGAGAATATACAACGAACAAGCATGTAAGCAAGAAAGCAAAGAAAAAAAATGACCCTAAAAATTCCGCAAAAAAACGAGAGATTTTTTTCTCTTCTTCGTCTTATGCATCTAGCTTTTTTTTTTCTTCTGAATGAATGAATGAAATTTGGTCTCTCTTTCTCTTTTTTTTCCTCTTTTTTTCCTCTCTCTCTTTTTCCTATCGACAAAACGCATGTGTGTGTGTGTAAGTCCAATGATTTGTTCTTTACATACGGCAATCTTTTTTTCTTTTCTTACTTTCTTGTTCTGTTCTATGTGTGAAAGAAAGAATAGCGTGTTCTCTTACATAAGACATATAATATATTCTCCTTGTTCCTTCTTCACACTGCGGTACCATCAACGTTTGAGTTGTACTCTTTTCTTCTTCTTCTTCTTCTTTCTCCTTGAACAACAACCAATACAATATAAATGAGAAAGAAACTACAAACTGTTGATCTCCTCAGTTTTTGACAGTATCGAAGGAGAAGAAAAAGCTCGATAAAGACCGCGGCGAAGAGGAAAAAAAAAGAAAAAGAAGAAAAAAGTTTTGTTCTAAATGTCCTGAAACATATGGCAAGTAAATAGAAAAGAGACGAGGGTGTGTACTGATGAATGTGAGTAGACAGAGAATGAGTGAACGAGTATATACGAGAAGCAGGCGACCTTGGTCGGTATGTGTCTCTAGCCTGTTCTCTCTCTCTTTCTCGTTTGCTATATAACTTACTTGATTCTCAAGTAATATTAGTAATAATAATGAAGTGGTACCAAAAAAAGCCAATCATATTAACCCACCGGGCCTATTTGACCTCAAGATTCTCATATCATTGTATCACAAAAAGAAAGAAGAATTCTGTTTACATTATCATAGATATAGAGACAATGATTGATATGATGTTCATAATTCAAGCAAATCTTTCTCTCTCTCCAATTCAATTTATTCTATATAAACAAAAATAAAATAACCGTATTATATATATATGATCTTTCTTTCATTGTTCTTTTATATATTAATCGATTGTTACTCAACAAAAAAAAAGAAAAAGAAATCTCATTGAACGATTTGTCGTTTTATAATAAGAACTTTCATCATCATCATCCGACATAACCGATTAGTAATGATGATAGATAAATAATTGAATTTTTAAACAATTAATCAATAATATTTGATTAAATATATGTAAATGATATTTGTATATATATATTTTTTTTTGAAATTTATTTAACCTTTTGTAATGCGTAAACATACAATGATTATTGTTACAAAACAAAGAAAAAACGAAATTTCGATCATTTTCTTTTGTCATTATAAACTAATCGACATCATGAAATTTCAGTATTGTAAACAATAATCATAATACATATTGCAAAAGCATACAATACAAAAAAGAAACAACTCAAAAGTACAAATACAAACGTTTTCATATTAGTTTTTTGTCAATATCATTCATAAATAGTTCTATATATGAATAAAAATCACATAAGATATAGTGACTAAGAAAGACGGGAAAAATGAAAAAAAGAATTTGAAAATAACAGATATCAGTTTGAAGAATTATAAGTCATGTTGTCGATGAAGTATAAGATTTGGAATATTATTTGATAGAGAAGGATTTATACTACTATCAGCACGACAAAATATTGATCGAGGGATGAAATAATCTAATGGACCATTCTAAAAAATAAACATAATTTTATTTGAAAATATCAATAACTATATATGTATTATTTACCACAAATCGAGGACAATTTAATCGAGCATACCATTCAATTGAATACAAACACATTTGCATGCCAAGTCCAACAAATAATGATGCCCATATAAATACATTGAATGCATTATTTTGTGTACGTTGTGGTAATATAAGCATTGAAATAACTATTTTATTTAAAAAACATAAAAACAAAATTCAGATTCAACGAAACTTACATCCAAGTACAGCGAATTGAATAAAGAGTATAGGATAGAAATACCCAAATGCTAATGCAATGATGTATTCATGAACGCATGCACTAAGAAAAATAACGGCATACATTGAAACCAAACGATATTTAATACCAAATAGCTATATTTAGAAAATCATGAGAAGAAAAATTATTTTTTCGATTTTAAAATATTTACCTTATGACAATCACGATAAACATATGTATAAAGCCAATCATGAACAACCTGAAAGATAGGAAATATTGAAAATATTTTATGCGAGAAATTTAATTTACAATATTCCATGTTCGATAATAACTACTCCATGATGTTGCAGTCCACCAGTCCTAAAATACACGGAATAATAAATTAATTATAACATAGAGATATTTCGGAATTTACACTATAGAATTGTCGATCAGCAAAACGAAGCATTTCAGCAAATGCATTGAGCCAACAATGAAGAAAACCATAGAATGCTAAAAAAAGAAAGAAACTCAATGTATGTGGATATGTAGGTAAACAACTCAGTCTTGAGAATTTGTATAGTCTAGCATTCCATTATACATCTTCAGGAGCATTTACGACGAAGGAATTCTTATTTTTAAAATATTTGGTTATGATTGATTCATTTTTACAGATCTCTTTTTCTTCTAATGTGATTATACATTAATCTCAAGAATAATCTTTCCCTATTCGATCGGTGCTCCTAAAATTTTACACTACTCACCATCAATCAATTCAAATTTTTGAAAAATTTGTTTAACTGAAAGCATTTTTTTGATATGCGAATTTATTTTGTCATTACCAGAGCTGGGCAAAATACCTAAAGTACTCGCACTCGCACTCGCACTCACACTCAAAGGGTCGGTACCCGCACTCGCACTCGCACTCACAGTCAAAAGGTCGGTACTCGCACTCGCAGTCGAAGGGTCGTCACCTTGCGTATCTGTGATAAAGATCTTACAGCTAATCTAGAAATCTCACGGGATTTTTTATTCGAAAAATCTGAATTAGAATTTTAGAAAAAATATATGAGATTGACCCTAATTTAAGTCTATCTTCGTTTTTCAAATTAGTATTGTTATAAACTTACCACAAAATAAGAATAGAGCACCTGGTAAAGTGCAATTAAGTATTGAGAGTACAAATATTTTTAATGTAACATGTTCCGAATTAAAATGACGAAATACTGGTAAACAAAAACGATAAAATAAATAATAACCAAATAATGATGTTGTAGCAAATTGTACTAATTGTGAAATAACATATGTCCATCGTATAGATGATGTTCGTGGATATGAATCACGGTAAATTAGTGTGGGTGCAAATAGAAAATATAGAAATTTAGAAAATTCTGGACATGGTGTATGTGGTACCGAAAATGTACTTTGTTCATTTGATGAATCATTTGATTTATCTTTATTTAAATCATCTGCATTGACTATTAAAAGAGAAAAGCACGAATAAAAAAAGCAATTGTTTTTCTTTCAAAACTAACTTTCTTGTGAATAAATCTGACCATAAAGTATAGCACGTGGTGCATTTTCTCGTACGAATGCATGGGATTTCATTAAAAATCGAACCTAGAATAATAATATAACAGAAATCATAACATTGACAATAGTCAATAATTTTTAGTAGAAATTCTTCAAATATTATAGGTTAATAATTGAATATAATACAAATATCTGCTACACTATCTAGTAGTAATATATTAGTTCATATATTTATCAAATTAGATACAAACTATTGTTGTAATTTAAATATTTATTCATTCTTTCCTATAGCCAAATTTAAAAATATACAGTTTATATGAAATCTATTAAACAGTACATCAGTGTTTTATCCATGTTTCTTTTTTCAAATGTGCGAATCGAACTCTCGGGTGGGCGAAATAAAAATTCTGAGTGGACGGCGCCCACTCAGCTCATCCGCTATATAAAACACTGCAGTACATAATATCTATTGATCAATCAATTGTTCTACATAAATTGAATGTATCATTTCGAAGCTTTGAATAGCAATTGTATTCTTTGCAAATAGAATCTACTCTCTTATATAATTGTTATTAAATTAGAAACAATTCAACAATGTTTAATGAATTGAACTGAATGATCTCGGTTGGATTCCGATCGAACAATTATCTTATATGTTTAATTAAGTGCTCTCATTTCTTTCAAACAAGTTATTAGTCGAAGAATAGTTCAAATAAATAATTGTCTTTTTTGATATATAATTTCATTTACCTGTTCTGCAAGAATAATAATTCTTGTTACAATCGGATAATTTTCTGCAATAATATAATGTGCGGGAATATATAAAAATAACCCAATATAACAACAATATGCAACAAACCATACCCAATCGAATATTACTATAAGATTATTTTTATGAAGAAAAAAAATACTACGATAAGAATTTTAGATTCTTCTTACCTAATGTTGTTGAATTACTGGTCGGTGATTTTTCTGTTTCTGTTGATGATAGTAAATTATTTGAAAGTAACGAAAGACGTTTATATGACCAAAAATGAAAACAATAATAAATAATTGCACAAGTTGACATAAAAAGATAGAACCAAAGACGTAAACATTCTGATAAATTTGAAAAATTCCATCGAATAATATCAAATACAAAAAAATCAACACTAAAATACGAAATATCGTTTGTATATTTTTCAATAGATAATAATTATATTATGCTACATACGTGCCCTTCTCAAATATATCGGTTATTGCAACTTGTAAAACAAGAAGAACAAGTATTGATATAAATATTTGTCGAATTGATCGTATATGTGAAACTTCAAGTAATTCTGTTAATATAGATGAACGCATACGAAAAACTTTTGTTGGAAATGCTGATGATGATCTAATTTGTTTTAAAAATAAAAGATAAGAATAAAAATGTCCTTAAAATTTAAAACCTTTTTATATCCACACTTTGTTTTGATGCAATTGTTTGTGCTGATGATGAATCTCCTATCTTATTTATTGATGTTAAACCATTAGTAGTAATACCAGGTCGTTCAATCATCTCATTAATTGATGGCATATTAGCTGTTTGTTTGATTTCTGATGAAAATTCTTCAAAACGACTAGTTACATAATTAAGTAATTCAGAACGAAGTTTCTAGAAGAACAAAATTTTAGTTGTTTTCTTCTTTTTTTTTTTGTTGATTATAATTTACTTCAGTTGCATTGTGAATTTTAACTGTTCGATCAACACGATTAAATTCAGCACTTGCTGATCGTTCTAAAAATTAGACAAAAAAAACAACAATTATTTATTTAATAAAGAATATTTAATTAAATTAACCATGGCCACGTTTTGATATCGAAGACATTATTGATTTCGATCGAACAAAAAGTGCAATTCACAATCTAGAATATTTAATTTGTGTATAAAAATTTATAAAGATATAGAAACAGATAGAAAGCAAACATAAGCCCACCTCTTTTTGTTATCTATTGATAAGCAAATATGTAACACTCAATGAAACGAAAGATTTTAGTCTTATGATAATTGGACCATACAATTTCGATATATGCTATCAGCATGATACCAAAAAATGTACTTGATATTATTCAGATTTATATGTACATTACTTGTATACAAGGGAATATTTGTTCTAATACTTTATACCTATAAAACTCAAGAATATATGAATACGCTATCGTCGTGTTCATAGTCAAATCAAAATATAACGTTATAGTTAAAATATGTTGTAACGAAATAAAAGAAAAGTAGTGTTCACAGTCGAATTATTTTTCTCGTTTATATAACCGATATATGTATATATGATGAAAAAAACTATTGAAAAGAAAAAAAAGAATTAAGAGGTCACTCTTTTTTGAAAAGGATTTCTTTCGTCTTTCTTTTTTGAGAATATAATACTCATAATAAAAAAACCCGATTGGTTAGGAGTAAAAAGAAGTATACAGATATATACATTCATACGATTCAAATCGTTGATTTCGATGTAGAACTGACAAAAAAAGTATTATGTATTTGCTTTTGCTTTTGCTTTTACATCTGTTGTTATCTAATCAAAGAAAAACTTTCTCTTTCTTCTAAGTATTCAGATATTTTCGATTATACGAGATCTAGATAAATTCTTATTACTTTCAATTATTCTTACAACTTTGAAATATTCATGTTGAAATGACTTAGCATATAGGAATAATGACGAGATCTATTAGGATGAGTCATTATTGAACACTATTGGAACATCTATATGAGCCAATGAAAAAGTCTTATCGATTACCCGAATGATCTATTATTATTCGTAGGAAAAAAATATTTTATTAATTACTTCATTTCTTCAACTTCTTTCAGATATCTGTTTTATTTTATCGATAAATATTCAAACACATTTATTCTTGTATATGAGTGACCTCTAGATAAAATTAACAATTATAAATTCTGAAAATCTTTTAAAGAAAAATAAAATTTTTCAAATCTAGATTATCTATTTATTCATTCAAGTCTAATTTCTATCTGAATCATTGAGATTTATTTTCTTAGCTTAAAATGATCCTCCTTTTTGACGCTTCACCGGCCGTCATGATGTCTTCTTTTTTCTTCTATTTATTTTATTTTTTTTTTCTTCCTAACACCCTCGAATTAACAAAATCTATATACATTACATTCTTTCTATTCTAGAAACATCTATCTTATTGTTCCACATGTTAGTCGAACTAAAGAAGTGAACATAGATATAAAAACCCTAGACGAACAATAATATTTACTTTCCTCTTCTCTCTCTCTTTTTTTGTTTTGGTTTAAATCAAATGTGACTAGTCTTGGCCAGTATATATCTGTTTATAGTCATTATTTGATCGAAATCGTTATATAAACAAAAGAGTAAAATCTTTAATATATTATCGTCACTTTTCATTCTCCATAGTCGAAGAAAGTATCAAAATGAGCTTAGCTAATAATTCATCTATAAAAAAACCATCCGCAACTGGTACGACTGATTCACCATATCTTGGCTCAAAAATTAGTCTGGTTTCAAAAGCCAAAATACGTTATGAAGGTATTCTATATACAATTGATGCAAATGAATCAACTGTTGCACTTTCAAAAGGTAAATATATATATTGAGAAGAAGATGAAGAAGAACACAATAACAAATCATTGATTACTTTTTTTTAGTGCGTTCTTTTGGCACAGAAGATCGTCCAACAGATCGACCTGTACCAGCTCGTGATGAAATCTTTGAATATATTATTTTTCGCGGTGCCGATATTGAAGATTTACAAGTTCGTGAACCTCCACAAAGTACACTTACACAAGATCCAGCTATTGTTGAAGTAAAATCTATTATTTATAAATGATTACAAAAATAATTTGCTTTTTAATATTTATTCTAGTCATCTATGTATCCAGCTGGTGCTCGTTCCACTAATATGGGAACAAATAATCTTGGAGGTAACCAAACACGTTCATCATCAAATCAAGGTACAATGCCATCACCACCTGTCCAACAAGGTCTTGGTAAAGGATTAAAATCCTCATCAAATACAGATCCATTACGTCAGTTAAATTTAAATCAACAACAAACATCAAGACCATTTAGTCAACAACCAACATCAGCAGCACAACATGACGGACAAGATTATTCCTATAATAATCAACGACGAGGTCGTCAACAACAAGATTATTACAATGATTTCAGTAGTAATAACAATAATAATAACACTAACAACCGTCGAGGAAATCAAAAACAGGGTTATGCAGAATGGCCTCGTACTAATAATAATAATAATTCAGGTTGGGATAATAATGGTTATCGTCAACAACAACAACAACAACAACAACAACAAACACAACGATATCCCCGACAACAACAACAACAACAGCAACAACAAAATTATGAAGGAAATCGTTTCTATCCACAAAAACGTAAGTTAATCTGAACAAAAGAATCATATTTATTATATTCTTTCATTGCAATAAATAGGTACAAATAATGGTCAACAAGGTTATAATAATTATTATAACTATCGTGAACGACGTAATTCAACAGGTGGTATAACAGGTAATCAACAACGTAATAATACTAATAATAATAATCGTCAACAACGTGAACGTACTGATTCTATACGTGGTAATAGTAATAATCGATCAACATTAAAATTTATCGGTGATTTTGATTTTGAAAAATCCAATGCTGAATTTGATAAAAATGCTATTGAAGATGAAATTAAAAAAAGTTTATCAATTAAACCAACTAAAGATAAAACTGATGAGACATCAACTACTGAAAATGATAAAGAAAAAGAAAAAGAAAATGATGAACAACAACCACAAGAACAATCCCAACAACCACCTAATACATCAACAGTTCAATTAGATCAACAAGAACATGATCCAAATAATCCAGATGGTTTCTATGATAAACAAAAAAGTTTCTTTGATCGAATCTCATGTGAAACAACAGAAAAAGAAAAAACGTATGTCAAAAAATATATCTACTTGATTTAGTTTTATTTAACAAAAATATTCTTTAGCATTTCACGTCGTAATTGGAATGAAGAACGTCGAATTAATGCTGAAACATTCGGTTTAAAATATCGTCCAATGCAACAAACTGGTAATTATAATCAACGTAATGGACAAGGTGGTTATAATAATTATAATCGACGAAATAATAATGGTCAACAATCATATTATGGTAATGGTGCTCGTTATCAACGTGGTGGAGGTGGAAATTATGGTGATGGTCAACAACGTTCTCGAAATACAACCTATTATAACAATACAAACAAACGAATGCAAGCTTATTAGAAGTATTTAAAAAAAAAGAATATTTGTAACAATATATAACGGCTGTATTTGTATGTGAGTGAGTGTGTGCGTGCGTGTGTGCGTGTATGTTTGAGCGATTGAACAGCAGTCATTTGGTTTAACCTATTCTTTTTCTTTATTTTCTTTTTGTCTTTCGTTTGTTCGTATAAGCCGTCATTTCTTATATCTACTCTGAGCATTTTACTTTCTTTTTTCGTTTGCTGATTTTGACTGTTGTTCTTGTGCTGTTTTTTTTTATTTAACATAACCTTATAACAAATTAGTATACGTGTGATTGAAAAGAAAGAACAACAACTGAAAATAAAAAATAACCGAAGTTCTTCACCGTATATACATACATACATATATATATATTTATATACACGAGCACAATTTGAAAATATGTAGATTTTTTATTTGTATGAAAATGAAACTAAAGTTTTTTTTTCTTATAAATAAAAATAAAAAATGTTTCCAAGATTGATATAAGAATTAATAAAAACTTCTTTTTTTTAATATTATATAAAATTCTTTTATTACACTTAAAATTCAAGATTAGGTTCTTATTTGCATATGGTCAAGGCGAAGAACTATTGAATTAAATTTAAATGTGAAATAGTTTGTTAAGAGTTTTCTTCAGTATCTATTATTGGATTCTTTTTGCATAATGTTGAATCCTCTTTCACGTATTTATAATACTGTCATTATGAAAAACAACATTCTTTAAAAATTTTTACATGCATCCGATTTTTATTGTTCATGAAAACCGACTTATTCGTCATTCTGAATAACTCTATGTTAAAATTATTTAAACTAGATTTTTTCTTATTAATCAGAAATATGTATTATATATTTTAGTTCTAAAAGTAAAAATATGCTTGCAGAATGAAACAAATATGAAAAGCTTTTCAACGAAAAATTTTAGCGAAATAAAAAAAGCGAAAGGCAACTCAGCGAAATGATTTTTCTTGATGAGGGCGAAAAATGTCTCGCAGTTGTGAATTTCACTCAGTGGACACCATGTCTTACAGAATTGAATCCAGTATTATTGAACAATTGAGCAAATGATTCATTCTATCTAATAGGTTTCATAGAGACAACATCGTACTATCCCTTTTCTATATGATATAGATATTGATTAAGATGTATAGTAAATCACGAAGTATCTATTAAAAATTGAATCTCTCCATCGCGGCCTAACTAAATGCACTGATGCTTTTCTGAAAATAAAAGATAGAACAAAGCTTAGAGAGAAACAGTGTAGAATTTTTATGAAGCAAAAGGATGTTTTTTTTCATTTGAAAGAAATGAAAAAGACGGAGAATAGATCAGACAATACTAATTATTCATATATGGATGAAAATCAGCGTATTTGATTGAAACGTAGTGGAAGTATTCGATTTTTAGTGCCCGTTTCGTGACTTACTGAGTATCCTATACTCAACAGTGAAAACATTACCGATGGTTAATCAAAATCTCTACTGATAAAATATTTATATATCAATTTTATCTAAGAATCTTAGGATTTGCACTATTATCTTCTTCGAAATACAATATAAAAATATTTATATTTTTAAACCACTGACATTGTTTTTCAAGTACATAATCAGCAATAAATTCCATTCCTTTTGAAATATTCCATCACTAAATAACTGCATCAAAACAATAACACCTCTCTCTTATCATCAATTTATACAGTACAATTAACATTGAATCACTAACAATCAAGCTATTTTTCTAAGCTGTTAATTATGTATCTAATATCATACGATAAAAAGGCAATTGTCGTCTTTTTTATTTATTTTTAAACAATACATTTTTTTTCTCTTCTTCTCATAACACCTAAACAAATAGATATGCATATATTTACCCTTTATCATTTCACACATGACTGAAGATAAACGATAGGTACTTATCAGTAATATTTATAACATTGTCATTTAAACGATATTAAACCTACACTTCATTAAATCAGCATTTTGTCTCTATTGTTATTATTATTATTTTATTGTCACAAAGAACAATTAACGTTGATGATTGATCTTTAATTTTCTAACAGTTTAATGCGGTATCCTTGAAATGCGAATGATCCGCTCGTGAAAATAGAGATGGTGTGAATATGAAAACAAACATTAGTCAGTCAATCAATTTATCAAAGAAGATTAATTCGTTTTCTCTATCCAATAGAATATATTCTCCAATAGAAAAAAAAAACTTTTCCTCTTCTCTATTTCTTTCCTCTTCTCTCTCTCTTTTCATCATATAAAATAAACTTCATATTTTTATTATCTCTTCATTTCTCCACCACGCATCATGTCAACAAATTTTTTTATCGATGCTCTACTTAATAGTAATCATGAAAATAAAAATCGTTCATCTATATATATGAATTCTTATTTACATGAATCAAATTTCAATTCAGGTAAAATAAATCTTTCTTCAATAAATAAAATAATCCTTTTGTTTTTCTTATAGATAGTTTGAATTATCCTACAACAAGTGATAGTGATGAAGATGATAATTCATCATTAAATAAAAGTTCAATAACAATACGTCGTAAACGAACAGCTTTCACAAATGAACAACTAATGGAATTAGAATCAGAATTTCAACAAAAAAAATATTTATCACTTATTGAACGTTCACAAATAGCACAAACATTGAATTTAACTGAAATACAAGTTAAAATTTGGTGGCAAAATCGTCGTGCAAAATGGAAACGTATTAAAGCTGGACAATTAAGACAATTTTCAACACACTGTCAAACAAATAATAAAGTTTTCTGTCCTATACCAGTACATGTTAAAAAACATTTTACATCGTGATTTGATTGTTTACTTTTTTTTGCTTCTTATGTGTATAACAAATTTAAATTAAATTTAACTGAAGAATCTAGATTTAATTATCGATATTTATGATCAAAGATAGATTATCTGATCGACGTTTTTTTATGTAATAGGAAGATAATGAGATAGTTAAAATCTTTTTAATGAGTGAATGCGCGCGCGCTTTCGGAGAAATAAAAAACGATCAATTATGATTAATGATAACAGAGTCAATGATAATACATGCTTAAGTCTACTCTCAACTCGTATTTTTCGGTATGAAGTTCATTGAACTCTGACAGTGAAGTTTATCAATTAGAACTGAAAAGTAGGAGTTCGTACATAGTTTTATTTTTGTTCGTCTTCGTTTATTTTTCTAATGCGATAAATTGAACATATCTTATGATCAATGTCGGTTAATGTTATGCAATATAATTATCTTTTGTCTGTGAAATTGTGAACATGTGCAATCGACTTATTATGATTGAAGAGAGAGATCAACTATTTTCATGGGGAAATGAAATGATTGTCTAGTGTATAATAGAATTCCCATAAGCAATTATCTCTAGATACTTTTCGTCAACATATATGCATTTGATTTTAAATCAACGATAGGACATAAATCAGAAAAATTTATACTTGAGTACATTTTATTTTTATGCATTGGAGAATTGCTTTGATCATCGAGATCATAACAATAGACTAAAAGAAAACAAATGCTGTTAATTACTTCTCAAAACTAAAAAAAAAAATGTAAGAAAATTAGAAGCATCTTTGACAGGTCACTTATCACTTTTATGTTATGTATACATTTTTTTCTTTTTGATGATAAATTGACTTTATTACTCAATTGTTAGCTTACTTATAATGACTAGTCATTATCATATAGGTGACAATGAACGACTATTATTGTTAATGATGGACATTCAAGTTTTAATATAATATAATTTACTACTTTAGATTTATGCTCGTGCTATGCGTCATTGAATATAAATAAATTAAAGACATCGATTAACTTCATTCGGATGATAGATTTTTGTTTCTTCTTTCTTTCGTGACTTTCTTTTGCTATACTATTCGATGTCTGTCAGAGTTATTATAGAAGATATATATATATATATATATGATCTTATGGCGGTATTAATCAGATATGAATCATTGATTATTCGGAAGTTTTGATAATGATCCTTTTTATATGGTAAATAGTTAAGATTTTGTTTAATTATTAAAGAAGTGATTGAACACATTTATCAATAAATGGTTGATTATCAAGTGAATAATTCGAAGTGGTCATCGAATTTTTAGAAATATAAAAATCAATTTTAATGCAAAGATTGAATTCTTTTTTTTGCGATGAGCACTAGAGAATAAATGTGTGTTGTAATATTCATTCATTTGATTCAGTGGCGAATCTAGGATTTTGGAAGGGAGGGGTGATGTTTGAGTAGGCGGAGGGCGATTTCGATTAAAACTATTTTTTGAGTTCAATCGAAGTAGTGCGAACCTATTTTTGCTGTAAAAAAATCGAAAAAAATTTCTGAAGGAAAGGGTGACTACCCCCTAAATCCGCCATTGATTTGATTCAGTTTGTTTTCAGTTCATAATTTTTTATTATACGTTTGTTCCATTTATGTTTTGTAAGCCTATTCATTACCAATAAAGATTTAATCGTTATTATATCTCATACAATCAAAACCAAGCTTATAAGCAATTTCGCGTTGACTGAGAATATTTTCTCATCTATGCGATGTTGTTAAGAAATCCGAAAAATGTTTTGTTCGAAGCCACCAGTACTCAGAGTCCATCGAGAAGCTCGATACGATCGATGTCGTCGTTGTAGCAGCGAGTGTTCAGGGTGAGGGTGAGTGTAGGTGTGGATGTATAGGTATGAACCAGAGTTTCTAGTACCAGTTGTACACAGCATAGGTAAAATGTGCTGTACAATTGCAATTTTTTATTTACACTCTGATTTTCACTTTGCTCGAAAAAGCAGAGTGTACGGTTAACACTTTGCGAAAATGATTTGCAACTTGATTCTAAAATGTCAGAAGCAGTAGATCACTTTTTCTTACATTTGTTTTTTGTAAATGAATTATCAGATTATGAAATGGTATGCTTATTTATCACTCATGTTTGTTATTTAACAAGTATTTATATAAAGTACTCATAAAGAAAGTAGAATTATTTCTGTTTTTTACATTGGAAAAACGTTATAAGTACACTTTGCAGGCAAAAAGAAGGTGTACACTTACTTTTGGTCTGCCTAAGCAAAGCGTACCAACACTCACACCCTTAATTTTCTGGATTACTTAACATATTCATCTATGTAATGAATATTATGTTTATCATTGAGAGATTTTAGTAACAATATTAGATAATTTGTTATCATTTCATAACAGAACTTTATAGGATTCAATTTTTATTTAGTATGATTTGAAAAATGACTTGTGTTATTTCGAATCTTTTTTTTTTCGTCTGCATGTAAAGAAAACAATAAAAATCGAATTCAGAGTTCATGGAAAATTTTCACGATTTTGTTTGAATTTAAAAAACTTAAAATAAGAAAGAAAGAAAGAAAGGAGGAAGAAGGAAGACAAAAACGTTCAAACAAAAAGAAAAAAAACTCAATCAAACTTAGTAGCAACAGTAACAATAAACAACAAACAAACTGTTCGTCTCTGCAAATAGATATAGTTATAATAAATGAAAAGAGAAAGAGGATAAGAAAAAAACAAAATCTATACAAAAGAAAGAAAGAAAACAGCACCATCCTATATTTATATATACACTAAACGCTTGTTTTTCGAAGCATACACAGAACTTATCACACAAACAAAAGAAAAATTTTTATTTGAAGAAGATTGTTTGTTTAATTCATATGTTCTTCTTATTGAGCAAGAAATAAAAACCACATTTTGTTGATATATAATATAGATGTGGAATGTTCGTTCATCTATGATGTAAATTTAAATACGAAATAAACGAAAATTGATTGCATAGAAATAAGAAAAAGGACGGTTTTGTTTTGAATAATTAATAATATTAAACAGCGCTTAATTTCACACCTAGAAAAAATAAAAACAAAATTTAATTTTAGAATCAATGAAATTATTTTGGTTAGTTAAAACATGCATAATAAACAAAAGAGAATGAAATCATATGTATATCTTTATGATTCTAATAGATATCCCGGAAAAATGCAGTGAATTCAGACCTCATTAAATTGCCAAATAGAAGTAGAAACTATATGAAAGCTTTCTGAAATAAGCAAAATAAATCGAATATTTTGTGAATATAAACAATGTGATCATAGTGAATTTTAAATGACATGTGTACTGATCAATATAAATTATTTAAATAATCATAATACTGTCTGAATTTTAAAATCACAAGTAATGCATCCTCTTCACATTTACTGGAAAACAATTGAAAACAGGTTTTCGATGTTTTTTTGACCTTTGCCCCCTCCTCTCACTCTGGCCACCCAACAAATCTCAAATTCGAACTCCTCGCATCGAAATGTCTTTTTTTAGAAAATCGGTTTTCGATGTTTTTTTGACCTTGCGGACAAACAATTTATGTTTGTAGGACTCTTCTCTACGAGAAAGAGAACAGTACACAATGTCATTATAATTCAATTTATGCTTGCAGTGTTATGCGATATAGCGTTAAGAATCTATAGGCAATAATACAAAACAAACAAAAGACAGAAGACAAGCAAATTCTTCTTCTTACGTTTGATCTCCAGACGCCTAAGTAAATCTCTAATTATGAATGAAATATTTTAAAAATATCAAATTTCTTCTTACCATTTTCATCTGAAAAACAATTTTGACAATGAAGTCGATTACTTCGTACGCGAACATCTGTTCCTTCGAATGATGATGATAATGGAATATTACAAACAAAACATCGAAAACATTCTATATGATAATATAAGCCGAGTGATTCAATAACCATAGCTGAACCTTGACCTAGAATAGCAAATACAATTAAAGAAAAAATAAAAAAAAGAATTAAGAATACTTTCTTGTACCTAATTCTTCATTACATCTTGAACAATGTAATTTACCACTAACAGATAAAACACGATTGTTATTACTATTAATCGTAGTGCGAATCGGTGATTTACTAAAAAAAAGATAAAATTAAGTTTTTTTTCAAATAAGAATTAATTGATGTAAACTAACGTTCGATTTTTTTGTTGATGTCGATGAGCAGATACATCAAAATCTCTTTGCTGTTGTTGTTGTTGATGATTATTATTACGTAAGGGACGATAATGAAGATTATCAACAGGTTCACCATAGTGAAACATACTTATTTGTTTTGATGTTGAAACATTCATTGGTAAATCTTGTTGATAAGTTTGTGATATAGGACGATGACTAGTAGGATTTTTTCCTGTTTTATGTGATGATAATGCTAAGGGTGGTGGTGGTGGTGCTGCAATAACTAATGGTTTCTGTTGATCATTAGTAATCCATGAACGATCTTCATGATGACTCTTTTTTGGTACTAAATTCAATGATGTATGAAGTTGTTTACTAGAAAAAGAAGAATGGTTAATAAGTTGTTTTTTGCTATTATTGAAAATACTAACTTTGTAATACGTTGTTGTGGTTTTTTTTCATCAATTAGACTCGTAACTTTCTTTTGTTGTTGCTGTTGAAGTGAAGTTGGTGAAGGTAAACTTATTTTCATTTCAGTTACTGTACGATCAGATGGATGTGCTGCAGATGAACGATTCATTATTGTTGACATTGATGGTATATCTTGTAAAGATCGTTTTAAATAACTCGGTGATGATTGTTGTTGCTGTTGTTGTTGATGATGATGCGAAGTTTCTAAATAATTAATAACATTTTCGTATTGATTGACTTTTCTACCATTTATTTTACTATTATTATGCATTAAATTTAAATCTTGTTGTGAAATTGATGATAGCATAGGAGCATTAACGAAACTAATTGGTATATTTATTGGTGCTTGCTCCTAATATTTAGTAGAGAAAAAATAAATATTAGAAGAATATTTTGGTATGTAAATATATGCATACGCGTGGTTTTTGTGCATGAGGAAAATCGAGGATCAGTTCTTGTTGTAGTTGATTCATTTGTTTTTCGACTGATTGACGTGTTTGAGTAATAAGAGATTCATTACGTTGTTGATCATGACTATTGTTATCTGATGTGCCATGTAGTAAATCTTCAACTGATGTTAATGGTGGTGGTGGTGATAATTTCGGTTTAGTAGCTGTAGGTGGTACTGGTGGTTTGATAACATCGGATGAAGGTGTTACTGGATTCGAATTAGCTAGAAAAAAGAAAAGTTTTATAAAGACGAAAAAAAAAGATAAAAACAGATAATTTACATGCATTATCTAAATTTGGTAATGTTGGTTTCGATACAGATGATGGTTGTTCGTCAACAACAGGTTTTGTTGTCTGTAAAAAGCAAAATCATTATAATACATACATATATATATTAAAGAGAAAAGAGATATAGAAGAAATAATAGTAGTGCTAGTAGTAATTCATGCATTGAACACAAGTTTATTAGTATATTATATTGCAAAATAATTGAGAGAAAAAGAATATATTATATTACGATTCCTAAGATTTAATTGATTTTTTTTGTCCATTCTATAATAAGATCTTTCTACGTCGTTCTGTACTATAAACTACAGTGATAGAACAATATTCGAATAAATCTACATCTATTTCTTTATAGGAACAAAAAAAGGTAAGCAAGCTGATTAAACTTAATAGCTAAACATGCATTAATGAATAAATGTAGAAATAACAAAATATTTGTTTTTTCATTTCCCTACTCATTTTGAAATATTTTTCGTCATATAATAAAATGATTAAATTAACAATACAATCATATTCGAATATTTATGAGACAGACAAAAAAAAGAGACGGAAAAAAAATCAATTAATCGTGGTAAAACATTTTTTCGAAAAAACAAAAAGTTGAACATTATCGTTTATCACACACACCAAAGAATGTGATTATTAGTGTGCATGTTTATATGTGCATAAATTTTTTTTTTATTTATTGAATTGTTGAAATAGAAGACGTGCAGTTAAATAGAAACATTTATTTATTAATTATATATGTTCGACTACCTCATTCGTCATGCTTTTGCTGATACTGTTTGTTGAATTTAGCATTTTCCGAAAAGCTTCAATTGGCGATGAATGAATAATATTCTGAACAATACAAAACAATAGCCATGCATGCATTCAAATAGGTTTTTTATCAATGAAAAAAAATAAAATAAATATACATAAGTTTTTTTTTATTATTTTTTTTTGTTTTAGAAACAATTCTTTTGTATCATGCATCTAGTATAGGTGAAAATAAATGAGTAGCTCTGTTCTCAATAAATATATTCTCATTAATTAAGACAGAAAAGAAAAATCTTACGGTTTCATTAGAATTTGGTGAATCTAACATAATTGAAGGTGTTGAACGAAATGGTTTTGGTGCGCCAATAGTTAATGGTATGATGGGTGTTTGTTGTACTGGAATAGTTTTAATTGTATCAGTTGATGGAATAGACGAAGGTGGAGTATAAGGTGGAAATTCATAAACAGGAGAATGAATATTAGATGGAGTAGTATATGAAAGTTCAGTTGTACGTGTCATTGTTGAAGAATAAGACGATGCAGGTGTAGTAGATCGAGAATTCGATAAAGGTTTTTGTGGTGATGGTGTTCTACTATGTTGTTCAACTGTAAGTCCACTTGTAATTGTTTGAGAATTATCATCAACAATATCTACAAAAGAAACGCAAAAATAGATTTAAAAGCTTTTTTGCTATGATTTTTTTATAGACCTTCATAAGTTCGAACAAGCATTTTAATACTTCCACGTAAATTTCGTTCTTTAAGAATTTTTCGTACTTGATCAAATGTCATATGTTCAATATTTTCATCATTCATTGCTATGAGTTCATCATCAACACATAATCCAGCTTTATCAGCAGGACTACCTAGAACAATAAAAATATGATGAACTAGGTATTGAACGAAAAGTCTTTTTTTTTGTTCTATAAATTTTTTTGTGAGATATAAAATCTATGCAATATAATTTTCACTTGATTAGTGTGAAAAAAAACAAAATATATATTTCGTAATGATATTCACCTTCGATTATTTTTTGCAATGACTTAGATAATGAAATGAATAGTATGATGTATTAATTTCATATTAGGACAAGGTCAGATAAACTTTGTGATAGATGCATAGGATCACGTAGGTTAATAGCGAAGTGTCTAACAAAGAATTAGAGAATAACGACTGATTATGAACGTCCGAAAGAGATTTTAAAAGCCTAGTGTATATATAGTTCATAATATTACATCTATGCAGACTATCAGAGAGTATATTTCCATTAGTACATCGAAAAGGTATGTTTTATTTTTTTTACCGTCTTCAAGTGTTGAAATATATATCGGACGATTTTGTGCTGGTCCACCGTTCAGTTTAAAACCAAAACCACGTACTTCAACACCTTTCTGTATAAATACTTCATGTATTTTAGCAGGACCCTGAAAATATTTGTTTTATTTAGAAGAAATTATTTTCTTTTTGCTTTACTCTAATTCGTTGAGGTGATGGGCTTTTAGATGGTGCTCGATTAGGCACTGTTAACTGTTCAGTGGATTCATTTGTTGTAGATGGTAATGGTGCCTCGGTCGATGGTGTTGGAACAGGAGGACGTGGAGGTTTAGCTTCTGATTTATTTGATCTAGAATAAAAAAGATTTGAATATATAAATTAAGAAATATTCAAAGTTAATCCTACGTTTTAATAGGACTAGGAGGTGATCGTTCATTGTCTGGTATTGATAGTGGTCCGTCATCGTCATTAGGACTTTGAACTGAGCTTTGTTTACGTTTTTGTTCACGTTTTTGACGCCAATTTTCAACAGCCTAAGAATATAAAATTACAAAAAAATCTTATTAATTTTATTGTTTATTTTTTTTCGTTCTTATAAAACTTTACATTTCTATGCAAAAACACTCATACGTTATGTTGATTTTATATTTCTACAAACTATTACTTGTCTAAAGAGTAATAAAGAAGAAAAAAAAGAAGAAAGATATACCACTTTATTGAACTAAGATAACAAGTATAATGAAATAAAAACAAATGTGTAATATGAGATGATTGCTGTTCCTTATTAAATACTATTTCAAAGATAGAACTTAAAATCTATGTACATGCAAAACGTACTTCACTAAAATCTTGATAGTGTTCATCCTGTCTTAAGCGTGCTGCTGAATATATATGAATACTACTAGCAGGAGTTGCTGAAGGTTTTTGGCTCGTTGTCGTTTTCGCTGTCCAACCTTTCATGATAATTAATATGTATTGAATGACACGTTTAATTGATTTTGATTAGATACATATCAGAAGAGAATGAGGACGATCCACAATTATCATCATATAATTGAATGTACGTCATAAGGCTACCATTCGTTTATATATGTATATATGTATATATGAATATCTTCATTTTTTCTTCGTTCGTCGCCTATACTTGCACCACTATAATTTTAGGCTTTTTTGTTTTGTATTTGAGCAAGGTGTGCCGTGCACACTGTAGTAGAAGAAAGAATGTAACCTCTTTTTCTTTTTCGTCTTCTCCTTCT